ATATCGCGATACCCCACTCACCAGTCCTCCTCCTCTTGAGGGTGACGTAGGGCAGCAGGTCGTGGCACTGACCCCACATATCCCTGTATATGGTGACACTGACCCCACATATCATGACTCCAACCCCATATACCGTGACTCTGACCCCATATATCGTGACTCTGACCCCACATATCGCGATGTCCCACTCACCAGCCCTCCTCCTCTTGAGGGTGACGTAGGGCAGCAGGTCATGGCACTGACCCCACATATGGTGACACCGACCCCACATATCATGATTCCAACCCCATATATGGTCACCCTGACCCCATATCACGCCGTGCCCACTCACCAGCCCTCCTCCTCTTGAGGGTGACGTAGGGCAGCAGGTGGTGGCACTGACCCCACATATCCCTGTATATGGTGACACTGACCCCATATACCATGACTCTGACCCCATATCATGCCGTGCCCACTCACCAGCCCTCCTCCTCTTGAGGGTGACGTAGGGCAGCAGGTCGTGGCGGGTGATGATGCGCAGCAGCTGCAGCAGCTGGCGCAGGTTGCTCTCGTCGCAGCGGCCCTGCCGCTCCAGCGCCAGCAGGAAGTCGCGCCCGCTGCGGATGCGGCCCCGCTCGGCCTCGTCCAGCACGTCGACGAAGAGGAAGGAGAGGACGCGCACGTCGCGGTGCGTCAGGTGGGCGCCCACGATGTCGAACATGCGGTGCAGGCTGTACAGGCCCTGCTCCCGCTCCCCGCGCTCCTCCGGCCACGACCACGAGGACGACGGTGACGATGGTGACGGCGGCGAGGGCGGCGACGGCCCCGCGCGCTTGCGGTGGGAGGCCATGGCGGGGCGGGGGCCTGGAGAGGGGAGGGAGGAGGGTGGGAGAGGGTGGGGAGGGACGGGGCGATGGGTCAGCCCAGGATCCAGCCTGAAAATCCCTTCCCTGGGGATGGGGGGTGATGGGTCAGCCCAGGATCCATCCCTTCAATCCCTTCCCTAGGGATGGGGGGTCAAGGGATCAGCCCAGAATCCATCTGGGAGAAGCCCTTCCCTAGGGATAGGGGGTGATGGATCAGCCCAGGATCCAGCCCTTCCCCCTGGATATGGGGTAATGGATCAGCCCAAAGTCCAGCCATTCCCTCTGGATATGGGGTTTGGGGTTAAGGGATCAGCCCAGAATCGATCCCTTAAATCCCTTCCCTGGGGATGGGGGGTCAAGGGATCAGCCCAGAATCCATCTGGGAGAAGCCCTTCCCTAGGGATGGGGGGTGATGGGTCAGCCCAGGATCCAGCCCGAAAATCCCTTCCCTGGGGATGGGGGGTGATGGGTCAGCCCAGGATCCATCTGGGAGAAGCCCTTCCCTCTGGATATGGGGTAATGGATCAGCCCAAAGTCCAGCCCTTCCCTCTGGATATGGGGGTAATGGATCAGCCCAGGATCCAGCCCGAAAATCCCTTCCCTAGGGATGGGGCCAGAATCCAGCCCTTCCCTCTGGATATCGGGTTTGGGGTTAAGGGATCAGCCCAGGATCCAGCCCAAAAATCCCTTCCCTGGGGATGGGGGGTGATGGGTCAGCCCAGGATCCAGCCCAAAAATCCCTTCCCTGGGGATGGGGGGTGATGGGTCAGCCCAGGATCCAGCCCAAAA